TCGAGCGTTAACCATCATCCTGTGAATTCGATTCTTTCTAGGACAAAGTAAATTCTTTTTTTTTTTTTTGGTTAGCTATGTACTTTCTTATTCTCTTCTAAATCAGCGCTGCTCTCTTAAATGTTTCTCAGTGCTTCAAGCTGCTGCTCGCTTGTAGCTGTCCTCACCTATGTGCATTGATTTTGTCAAAATTAGCGATGGAAGACGACTGTCTCGTTGATGTGTACCAATCAGTATATGTAACATGGATTGTCGTATGAATGAAAAGCTTGCACACATCGATGTCGCAATTCCATAGCATACTCAATTTTGCAGAAGAGGAATAAAATAATGATGCGCCAAGCGAGCGTCACTTCGCTTCGCCTCCTCATCCTCGGGAATTGATGGGGCAATTCGCACAGCGCCTCACACACTTTGCGCCAATAGCTTCGGTTGAAGCATCCTGAATACAGGCAATTTTTACTGCTGCGCCATCACATTATTTTGCTCTGTTCACATTTAACGCCCTTAGCGCCATTTATATCCGGAGCTTGGGATATTTCATGTTTGGAATTTCTTTACTCTCCTTTCCTTCTCTCTTCTCATTCCGCCTCTAATTGGCCTCCTCATTATACACTTTCCAAGGAGCAGAGCCAGCCGGGAGCAACTCGGATGCTAGTACTTTGCCAGCACTAACCACCGCTGGTCTCCTCTCCTGAGCGCTGCACTGGAGAGAGAGCTGATAACAGCGCTGACCGTTTGATATGCAATGGTGGGAAGTTGCCGTTGGAAAGAATCGTCGAAGGACTGGTTTTCTGCTGGCCGATTCGAAATACCGAATCGAGCCGGTCAGTATGCTCTAGCTCTCGTCCTGCCAAGACCGACGGTGATACTATACACATGACTTTATATGGCCTTTACGGCCCGTACTGCCCTTCCTATTTTATACATGTGGTGACGCATATTCAAGTCCAGGTTACTGTTCTCCTGGAATCGATTTTTTTCCGAAATTTTCTTTTTTTGTAAATAGCTTGATGGACATCGCGTTTGCCACTAGCGCAAATGCGTTAAGAATGTGAAATAATTAGAAAAAAGCATGCATGTTTCGCTTGAAAGTAAGGCTATTCGTTGCCCGGACAAACAATGCGCCTGGTCAGCATACTGCCGCTGCGCTTAATCTATGCCTCTTGTATTAAACGGGGATCTTTTGCGGTTGAAGACCGAATTGGTCCTCACTGCAACTTCTTGCCCTGTAAGCTGATGTGATTTTTTATGTCCATTCCTGCTTCCCTCTTTCTTTGAAATTTGAGCTTGATGTTAACAAAAATGGCTCTTCCCTTGAAATGCTACTGCTTCTCGGAGAGAAGTAGATGAGGACGTACTTTTTAAAGTTAAGACTAAACGTTTCGATCTGTTAAGCGCATCGATTATAAAATCATAAGGGTACTCCTCAGCAAAACTGTGATTTTGGGCCAATATTGACTGTCAAAAGTCAAAACCCCACCAGTACTTCCTCATTATGAGAGACGAAAGGTACTCGGAAATGGTTCCTGTGATAGCACATACCAGAAGCAGCCATTTGCTGATAAAACTATCGACGGCTTCTCTTTAAAAGGGTTATTTGAAACAAGCTCATGGCGGGTTTGTTTCGCTAGCATGCGCCAGTACCAACTTTGCTGTAGAAACGAGTGAGCAATTCGTAGAGGAACTGATTATCCCA